GCGAAACAGTATTGGAAAAGAGTACATGCTGTGTTGCAACAAATATTGCTTTGTAAGGTGCCATTAACCCCAGAACTATTTTTATTGAGCATGATACCTGATAACATAGATAAGACAAAGAAATATATAGTTATATACATAGTTACTGCAGCCAGAATTCTCTATGCCAAAAATGGGAAAAGTCCGATGATACCGAAACAAGAAGACCTTATAGAGAAGATATGGGAAACAGCGGAAATGGACATTTTATCAGAAGTGATGAAGGACTTTCCTTTCCAAAAGGCAACAGGAAGATGGGACTTATTCTACAAATGGACTGAATCAACAGGCAGCGTATGAAGAGCATATATTGAAACGAGAACTTAAAACTGGAAGGCAGAAAATAGTAAAAAGAATAATTTGGAATTTTGATATGGCAATAGGTATAGAATGGACATTAGTATGTTATTGTTTCTCCTCTTTCCTATTAACCTCAATTCCCCTTTTCCTTTTTGTCATCCCCTTGTTAAAAATAAAAAATAAAAAAAGATGGTCTATAGCAGTGGCTCCCATCCTTAGGATGACTCCTGACATTTCCAACTCAGTTAGCCAGAAATATGACTTCTGTCATCTTTCCTATTCCAAGTTTATTTCTCTAATAAGCACAATCTTTCTTATTTCCATGGAAAGACATGTGGGCATGATTCCTTTACAAAGGAGGAAGTGTGCTCAGGTAATAATTTCCAGTTTCAAAGGCTGCATCTACCAGTTAACCTTACTCCAGTGCTGCTGTATGTGTATTCTCCAACAACACAAAGGTTTGTCTCTTCACCATTTTTTGTTGCAGTGGCACAAATTTGGCTTTCTTTGTCTTATTTTGTTGCTGTATTGCAAATCCACCTAATTAATCAGATTGCTAGAACAGTTAATTGAACAATCCTCCAAATTCTGTTGTAATGTATGTAACCTATGAGCTTCCCATAGAGTGCTATATATCTGCATCAGGACTAAAAGTGAATTAGGGTGTTTTTTTTTAGTGAACCCAATACTCATGATAGGACAAATATGACGCACCTCCCTTGACATCCTTATGATGGCTAACAAGAAGAGAATTGTTGCAGAACAACGTACGATGTGTTATGATTAAAACATATGAAGCCACCCATCTGAAAGACATCATTTATGTATGTTATTTACCAAAGCATCAGCCAAATTTCTTCAAATGCATGAATAGAATCCTAGATGGGTAATAGATGTGAAGATTATTACTTTATATACTGTGGAATACAGTATTGGGGAAAGTTTGACTCTTCTTTCCTCACATGCAGATCCTGTGGTTTTATGGTCATCGACTTGGGTAGTCATGGATCCTAGCTGAAAGAATGATACGAGCAATCATTGCTTGGTTTGCAATACTCATCAAACCTTATACTATGAGAACATTTGGCGTATTAGAAGTTTCAGCCAGTACAACATTTTCAGAGACAAGGCAAGGTATGTTTTTGTCATTTTGATCACACCCTTGTTTGCACTGTTAACCTCTTTTTATGTGGTCATGAGAGCTTCTGTTCAAAAAGCAGTCAATACTTATTTGAGTGTAACGTATCATCATATCACAACACAAGTAGCATTAACTAGATATAAAGAATCTAACAGAGAGAGGCCTCATGATTTAAAACGGGTGGGTCTGCATGATGTAACAGAGGCAAGGAGCCAAAGCGGCTTATGGGACAACTAATTGTGGAAATGGGTACCAGAGGAGTCCAGATAAAACCCAGCAAACCAGATAATGTGGCTTCCTAGAGTTTGGGAGGGGATCCTTTTTTAAGTGGGTTGGCTGCAGAATATGTCCAGCATCTGCCTCAGTTGCACCATTTGTACTAGGACTTGCATCCAAGGCAGCCTTACCTATAATGAAGAGTTTTTCAGATGTCTATGTTCGCCTGGGGCTTATGAGAGGCTCAACATCAGCTCATGGAGGAGTTTCTCCTGCTCCCATGCTTCTGCAAGGGCTTGTACAACACAAAGGTTCGTAAGTCACGACACTTAGCTCCTGCTCTCTGCCCCAGTCCAGATGGCCAGATGGATCAAACTCCATACACCCACTGGTTCAGTCCTCAGTTTCTTTCCCTCTCTTCTGGCTTACTGGTGTGCTACAATTCACATACAAGCCCAAGAGCAGCACATGTAGAAATCTTAGTATACAACTTGTGACTGGGAATGCATGGAGATGCATTGAATACAAAATTCAGTATTTTTCCTACTTCAGTGCTGCTCTCCT